TTTTTTGTACAGATAGAATGGGAGGGAGAGAGAGGAAGGGAGAGAGAGTGAGAAACATCGACGTGAAGGGACACATCGAGTGGCTGCCACCCACACGACCAACCAGGGCCGGATACAAACTGCAACCGAAGTACGTGCCCTTAGCGGGAACCGAACCCGGGTCTCTCCAGACCGCAGGCCAACGCTCTAATCGCTGAGCCAAACTGGCCAGGGCTCCTTTTATTTTTAATGTGGCTCCTAAAAAATTTAAATGATATATGTGGTTCACATTGTATTTCCATTGGAGAGCGCTGATCTAGAAAGTACTGGTAACTTAGAAAATAAACAGATAAAAGCTGTCTTTAACCAAAAGCCAATTAAATCGTGTTGTAAAGCAAAGAGAGCTTGGTACTAGGAAGAAGTATTTGACTGGGTCCAGGGTCAAATCCCAGAAAACCCAAGTTCTTATAAGTCTTCATGCCATTTCCTCTGCCTGAAATAATCTAACTCCTGTTCATAATTTTTCTGTATCATTTGAGACTCAGCTCAAATATTGACTTCCTCTGCAAAAGCTCCCTCCACCCCTGTGCTCCCACAGTTCTGTGTATTATAATTATCTTTGCGTATTTCTCCTGAGATCCTAAAGGAAGGGTTTGAAATACATGCCTAGCGCCCTGTGCATATTGGGTCCTCAGTGGTTTTTATTTAATGAATGAGTGTATAATTGAATGAATAATTGAGTTACCAATTTAATGAACTTGTTTATTTGCCTTTTCCTCCTGGATAACATTGGCTGTAGATTTGACATGGTAATATGAGTGTAGGACCATTCCAGGAAGCAGATTTGGTGAAAAGCCATGCCAGAGCAGCCCAAGTGGAAAGGGGCACGTGCAGCGTGGGCCCACTTGCTCTCATTTCACTTTTATTAACGGTATCACTCTAATAACACAGGGCAATAAATGGTCGCTTTTATTTGCCAAAAATATATGTGGTACAGTATATAATCCTTTTTTAAGGTGGTAAAGCACGTAATTTCATCAAAACTGGTTAAAATAAGAGTTTTGAGCCCTGGCCAGTTTGGCTCAGCGGTTAGAGTGTCGGCCTGCGGTCCGGAGAGACCCGGGTTCGGTTCCCGCTAAGGGCACGTACCTCGGTTGCAGTTTGTCCCCGGCCCTGGTTGGTCGTGCGGGTCGCAGCCACTCGATGTGTCCCTTCACGTCGATGTTTCTCTCTCTCTCTCCCTTCCTCTCTCTCCCTCCCACTCTATCTGTACAACAAATGGAAAAGTATCCTCGGGTGAGGATAAAAAAAAAAAAAAAAAGAGTTTTGATACTTCAGGGAGTAAAATTTAAATATTCCAGTTAAATGTAGTAGACTTGAGAAATGTTAGGTGTTGTTCATGAAGTTAAATGTTGCAAGCCTGATTTCTTGCAGATCACAGGATTAGGAAGAAACAAAATCTAGAGTAGCTTTCCTTAAGGATTTATCCTTGGGTCTACTAATTGGATATTAGTCTCAGTAAGTAAATGATTAGTTATTTGTTAGTTAGATTAATGTTTACAGTTATATCAGTAGGCCCAGGCAGATACTTCAGAATTTACATGACCATCAGTCCTGGCTTATCACTGTTTCAGGGTCAGTGTTTTAGACATTTAGAAGCCTTGAGTTGAGTTATATGGTTGGGTGTTTGTATGTAGTTCTTTAAATCTTAATGTTTTTAGGGCATTACTTTGGCTTTTATGACATTTAATTTTTAAATTTTGGGGTAGCAAGAAAGTAAAAAAGATTTTAAATAGTCTATGAAGTTAATTTTAAAGTGAAAGGAAATTAATTTTTTTTAAATGTATTTTTCTTCCACTTAACATAGCTTTCATGTCATTTTGAGTCAGGCCTTCAGAGACCCTGGTCTTAAGTGTGAACAAAAACTCTCCCTGTTGCCCTGGCCGGTTTAGCTCAGTGGTTTGAGCGTTGGCCTGCAGACCAGAGAGGCCTGGGTTTGGTTCCCGCTAGGGGCATGTACCTCGGTCACAGTTTGTCGCCGGCCCCATGGGGTCGTGTGGGTGGCGGCCAGTTGATGTGTCTCTCTCACATCGATGTTTCTCTCTCTTCTTCCCTCTCTCCTTCCTGCTCTATCTGAAGATAAATGTAAAAATGTCCTCAGGTGAGGATTAAAAAAACTCTCTCTCTTTCCCAGTCCCTGATTCATCAAAGCCAGTTATTTATGGAAAGACGGATTCCGTTAGGATAAGCTGCACAGTTAGTGGGAATGAATCTTTTACAGAGTCTCCTTCCCCACCCCGCTTCACGTGTTTGAGGACTCATCCTGTTCTCTGTGGTATTCATTTATCTGGGCAGGAGGTCTGCACCCATCTGATGTCTGATACTTATCGGTTACCCCAGTATAATAGGTAACTTGACTTTTCAGTTGAAAGGGTAAAATAAGGAAATTTACTGTCAGATTCCTTTTCTGGAAGAAGATACTGTAGTATTTGAAGATATGCTTTGAAAAATATATAAAAATGAAAGAGGTACCGTTTCAGGTTACTTAGTCTGCATTAAACTGACATGAGTTCCAATAAAACTCTGTAAACACTCAAAGACAGCTCTAAGTTGAGCAAGAAGTTGAAATAACTAAGACTATTTTAGCAAGCAAAATGAGCAGTGTAAGCAATTTAATGGGCACCAAGTTTAATAGGGTAGGCGTTAACTTTTGCATTAACACTTAATTTTTCAATTATATTAAAAATGTTGCTTAAACTAGGAATGTTTTGCCAAAGAAGAATTTAATAAATACCTCAAAAGCTAAAATCTAGCGAGGTTATTATTTGTGAAGACAAACTTATTTATGGATAAAGGCAAACTACATTCAGAATGAATACTACCCAATTTTATTAAAAGGGCAGGTATTAATTAAAACAGCTACTTGAATTATACTAGTACCATGATTCAGTATAAAAATAAGAAACTGTCTATGAATATGCAAGTAATAAATCACAATATACAGTGTATATGGGAGTCATACAGAGCAAATCCTCATAAAAACAAACATCTTAATAGCTTTAAAATCCATTTTTTAAATCATGAAAAATTCTCAAGTCAGATTAATAATTGATTAATTTATTAATACCTCAGTTAGTCAACTTAAATATTAGGAAGCTACACTACTAAAACTTTATACACGGAATGGAATCTTTAGAACAAGAGAATTATAATGAAATGAAATTTAGAATGTTTTCATCATCCCCCCCCAAAAAAATACCTGAACCCATTAGCAATCATTCCCCATTCCCCCTACTTTTACCCTCCTGCCCCATTCCCTAGACAACCACCAACCTTCTGCATGTCTCTATAGAGTTGTCTTTTCTTAATGTTTCATGTAAATGGAATCATACAATACAGGGTGGGGCAAAAGTAGGTTTGCACATTGTTCTTATGGAAAATAAGACACGAATTAAGAAATGATAATACAAGAATAAATTCTTTGTTTTGCGAACTCACAATTGTAAACCTACTCTTCCCCACCCTGCCTGTAGTCTCTTGTGGCCGACTTCTTTAACTTAGCATACTGCTTTCAAGTTTCATCCATGTATAGTGCTTCTCTCCTGTTATTACTGGATAATTTGCATTATATAGACAGACCACATTCTATTCATCTATCAACTGATGGATATTTGAGTTGTTTTCACTCTGTTATTACTTCTAATGCTGCTGTAAGCATTCATGCACAAGCTTCTGTGTGGGCACGTTTTTATTTCTCTTGTGTAAATGCCCAATAGTGGAATTTTTGAGTCATATGGTAGTTCTATTTTTGAGAACTTCCAGACTGTTTTTCAAAGCATTGCATCATTTAATCTTCCTACCAGCAATGTAGGAGTGTTTTAATTCCTCTATGTCTGGACAGTACTTGTCCCACCCCTTAAAAATTTTTATTTTTACCAAGCGGGTAACATTCTTAATAACGTTGTTGTTACAAGTATTTATGAATGCTTCTCTAATTGCATTACAGGGAAGCTATCACATCCAACTCCCTGAAATAACAGTCTTCTCTGACTTTACTCCAGCTCTATTAAGATATAATTGACACATCCTAGTGCGTAGAAGGTGATATTTCATTGTGGGTTTGATTTGTATTTTCCTGATGATCAGTAATGTTGAGCATCTTTTCATGAGGTATTGTCCATTTGTATATCTTTCTTGGAAAAATGTCGGTCCAGATACTTTGCCTATATTTAAATTGGATTATTTATCTTTATTGTTGAGTTGTAAGAGTTCTTTATATATTGTGGATATACTTTCCTGATCAGACTTGCAAATATTCCCCCCATTCTGTGGCTTCTCTTTTTATTTTCTTCATGGTGTCCTTCCTTTGCAGCAAAAAATGTTTTGTGTTTTCTTTTTGTAAATTTTGAAGTCCAGTTTATCTATTTTTTAATGTTGCTTGTGTATTTTATTAGTCACAGTTGCAGGATCCATTCAGAGAATCTAATTTCCCATGCTATCAGAATTGTATCTTATTGCATCATATGATTAATATAGTTGTAGTTACTGTGTGCACATATAGTAGTTTTGTTTATTCTACTTAGCATTTTTATTTTTTATCCTCACCCGAGGACATTTTTTTTCCATTTTTTGTTCAGATAGAGTGGGAGGGAGAGAGAGAGAGAGAGAAACATCAACGTGAAAGGGACACATCGAGTGGTCGCCACCGACACGACCCAACCAGGACAGGGGACAAACTGCAACCAAGGTACGTGCCCTTAGTGGGAACCGAACCCGGGTCTCTCTCGACCACAGGCTGACACTCTAACCGCAGAGCCAAACAGACCAGGGCTACTTAGCATTTTTATGTATAAATTTCTTTCTATTTCTATCACCCATGCTTCGTTTTCAAGAGCTGTCATGTTTTATGGTAGTACTGTAGTTTACAGTAGTTATCCTTTTTTGCTTGCTTGTTTTTCAACTTCATGATTTAAATAGTGCTGGTATCTATCAACTTAAAAGTTACATTATTTTCTCCTTAGGCCGTGTTGACATAAAAGAGTTGATAACAAAGAAGAAACAACTGGCAGCAGAGGCAGAGGTAAGTAACTCCCTCTTCCAGAAACAAAAATGTACAGTGTTGGGGTAATGAGTTTTTTTCAGTGGATTTTAAAAAAATATATTTTTATTGATTTTTAGAGAGAGAGGAAGGCACAGAGAGAGAGAGAGAGAAACATCAAAGAGAGACATACATTGATCAGCTAGCTGCCTCCTGCACACCCCCCAATGGGGATTGAGCCTGCAACCCAGGCTGTGCTTTGACTGGGAATCGAACCAGCGACCTCTTGGTCCATGGGTCAGTGCTCAGCCACTGAGCCACACCAGCCGGGCTGTTCAGTAGATTTTTAATGCTAAATTGCTTACAGAATTATTTACCTTTCTTATCATTTGACATTGTCTTGCTGTGGAACAGGAACATAAGGTCTGCCACCTTGTCATCCTACCTAAGAACCAGGTTTCCCTTTTCTCTTCTAGCCCATCTATCACTGTCATTTTTCTGACTTTTACCAGCAAAACTCGGTTTCAGTGAACCATATTACAATTGAATTTCTATATGATGGTCTGTGTAAGTACTTTGTGAAAGTAGCAAGGTGCACAGAAATCACAGGCTTCCAGTAAAAGTTCAGCCTGAATCCAGAAGCAGATTCCCTGTTACGGATTTAGAAGAAATGTCAGCTCAAAAACAGCCATGTGGAGCCATTTCAAGCCAGGCGAATGGTTCTGCAAGTCAGATTGAGCAGTGCCCTCAGGAAATTCTGGAGGAGAAAGAATAGTTTTTAAACATTTATAATCTAATACTGTGTGTGCTTGAATGTAAGTTGAGTTCAGATACAAGGCAGCCTCCCTTTTTTCTGAGAAGATTACTTCTGGAATTTATTGGCCAACATGAATATCTAAATATCCGGTGTTGTAGATAAAATGCCCTGTTTTATTTATTAATTTAGTTACATGTGCTTCCATGCGCATCTGCATTGATTTAGAATAACAGATTTAGATATTTTTATTTTTAGGCATCATATTTATATGGGGCTCTTGGACTCAATTCTAACATGGGGGCATGGGTTCCCTCCACACCCACAAGCAGTTCTCAGATGCCAGTAAGAGTGTCCCAGGAATTTAACCAAATTTGATACTGTCTACCTGGAGATAAAAATCAGATTCCACAGGCAAAGGCTCAGTCCCACATGTCTACCCTCCCTTTCAGGTGCTGGAAGCCAGTCCAGGTTACTTGTGCTTCTGAGATTGGAGGTTCCAGTGACACCCCCCCCCCCCCCCCCCCGCCACTCAGAATGCCAGTTGCAAGCTCGGGTTGTCACCTATACTTCTGACCCACTGGCTATAAATCAGAGGTTCCTTGGGTCTGATTAATTAGCCAGAATGGCTCACAGAACTCAGGAGAACCTGTTTAATCTACTAGATTACTGATTTATTACAAAGCATAAGAATCAATAGCCAGATGAAGGTCCTGAACAAAGGAGTATCTGTCCTTAGGGAGGTTGGGGCCTGGCAGGTGGCAGTACCCCAACATGTAGGGCTAACAGGTTGGCCTCTTGAGTTTTTATGGGACAGAAAGTTTTAAACCTCTAATCACATGGTTGGTTCTCCTGGCAACCCAGTTGTCACTCATCTTTATTGTACAATTTCACCCTAATCTCTAGGGTGAGAATATTGGACTAGCTGTCTCCAAGGTCCTCTTCAGAAATAACATTCTGTGTCATAATTGTGTAGCTAACATATATATATATATATATATATATATCTATATATCTATATAGATATATATATATATATTTTTTATCCTCATCCGAGGACATTTTTCCATGTTTTTTTCAGATAGACTGAGAGGAAGAGAGAGAGAGAGAGAGAGAGAGAAACTGACGTGAAAGGGACACATCGAGTGGCTGCCACCCGCATGACCCAACCAGGGCTGGGGGCAAACTGCATCCGAGGTATATGCCCTTAGCGGGAACCGAACCTGGGTCTCTCTAGACCGTAGGCCGATGCTCTAACCGCTGAGCCAAACCAGCCAGGGCTTGTGTAGCTAACTTAAACTTCAGCTTCTAATTCACTATTTCCTGTTGAGAAGGGAGTAGGTAGTCTATAGATCTTATTGGGCAGCTCTTTCAGCTCCACAGAACTAGAGTTGTTAGAGAAAATACAGTGTGCCTAGTTAAGTTTGAATTTCAGATAAACAACAAATAGTTTTTTAGTCATCATGCAATATTCGAGACAGACTAAAAAGGTTATTCGTGTTTTACCAAATTTAACTGGGTGTTTCTATATTTGTATTTGCTAAATTTGACAACCTACAAAGAACTCTGAAAATTGAGATATATACATAGTGGAGCTCATAGTAAGGAAGGCAGGGAGGAAGATTGTCAAGTGCCCAGCTCTTTTGTCTGAAGGGAAGAGGAATGAGAGAGGTTATCACATTAGTGGGTTGCAATTGGTGGGTTGAACTGACTGAGTGTCTTAAGATCACTTCTAGGTCTAAATAGTTTCATAAAACAATTTTTAAGTACTTACTTTTTTAAAAATCTGGTGCTAGTTGGTTCATAAAACATTGTGTAACCCTGAGTCATGACCTTGTGAAATCCTTAGAATTGTGTTGTAACAAGATTAAAGACCTTGGAACAGTCCAAGGGAGATTCAAATGATTAAGTCCCAACCAACTTATGTTAATGATAAATTAGCTTTGTTTTAACATTATGTTACTTCAGTTTTTTTCCTTTGGTTGCAAATAACAGAAACTTGCTTTGGCTTAGTTAAGCATTTTTGATATTTTATATTAATGTATCTCTTAGAATCCTGGGAGAAGTTGGACAGTCTTTGGAAGGGAAAACATTTTAATAGCAGGAATTCAGATATTTCTGAATTTTTCAGTTAATGAGGTTTTTCACTCACTCTTTCTAAGCTCAGAGTTTCAGATTTAAGAGAGAGGGAGAGTTGGATTTTGGCAAGAAGGGCAGGACCCATGCAGTATAGCCCTGGCCTGGCCTGGGTGCCTGTCCTCACCTTGAGGACAGTTTCCAGAGAAAAGTGAATATGTTGAGAAGAGAAAAGGAAGCATCTTTACTATCAATAGTTGTAGAATTTTTATTAATGTACACAATTTTATAGAGGAAATGTTAGGTATAAAGTGAAAATTAAACATGAAAAATGACTTACTACTTCTGTTTCTTAAAAACTACATATTTGTTGCAACATATTTCATTTGCTGCTTTTTTTTTTGGTTAATTCTCACCAGAGGATAAAAGGGAGGGAGGGAGAGAGACATCCATGTGAGAGAGACACATTGATTGGTTGCTTCCCGAATGATCCCGACCAGGGGACCTAATTGCAACCAAGGTACTATCCTTGACTGAAATTGAACCCGTGACTCTTTGGTCTGCGGGCCGACCCTCTGACCCCAGAGCCAAACCAGCCAGGGCTAAATAGCTACTTTTTCATTAGTAACAGCACTAAATGATAGAATGGGCGTAAACTGCAGTTTTTATTGTGCATTGCTTTGTTTCTGTCATCAGAGGTCAGCTCTGACGGAGTGGGGAGTGGGTGGAGCCACAGATATCTATAGAGTGGTGACTGTGTTAAATACTGTGCTGTGCATTTTTGCAGGGTTTTTTGTTTCTGTTTTGGGCTTTTTAAAAAAGTTCACACAACTGATTAGCAAGTTAGATGTTATTCATCTCAATTTTGCGCAAAAAAGTGAAATAGCTTGCCTGAGGCCACATGCAACTGGTGGAGGAACCTGAGTCTGCCTGGCTGAAAGCTCATATTTTTTTTACTACGTTATTATTAGCACTAAAGGCATCTTTTGCCTTAGTATTGTACTAGCTCAAGTATGGATTTATGTGCTACTCACATAAATTTTACTGCAGGAAAAAAAGACATGAATTAATATTAAAATAGGATCCTTTGTAGCTCAGCATACCCAGGCAGTGTTCTGCACTGTCTGAGGAATCAGCGGTTGGAGCAGAGGTTGGAGGCAGAGGTGCGGGAGGGAGATTGTGAAAGAAAGTAGGCAGGAGACTTAATGCCCTTTACCACCGTGTACTAGCCCTCACGCTGTTGAAATGTCTGTGATTCTTATTATTATCATGATGATTTTTTGCTTGCTTATTTGGTCCTCCTATCACTCTGAACTGTTCTTTGTGGCATTCGGTGCACCATTAACAATTCATGTCTTTCCTCATTGATAGCTCCTTAAGAGCAGGCTGTGTGTATCTTGTTCACCACCGGAGGTGCTGAATAATAGAAGTGCCCGTTGTTATCCAAATCTTTGTGGTCCATGAGATCACATAACGAGCTGGGATAACAAGGGATACCCTTATTTATAGGATGACTGTGAGAGAAGAAAAGGTAGGGTTCTAGGGTGTGAAGGGAAAGAAAAGGAACAGGAGGAAGGAGAAAAAAGGGGACAGTTGACAAGAAGGATGAGGGTAAGGAGATTGCTGTAGGTTTTCTTACTATATGACTGGAAGTTTCAAGTGCTTCAGAACATATGGCAAAGGCTCCTCTGTGGGCCACAAGTACATTAGGCACAGGACCTTGTGCCGTAGGAGTTGACTGCTGTATTCAACTTGAGTTGGGTGGATTAGGACCGGGTTTTAGCAGCTTTTACTGACATTCATAGACTTTATTTATTTATTCATTCATTCATTCATTCATTCATTCATTCATTCATTCCTGCTTCTGGTCTACTTAACCCAATACTTAAATTGGAAAGGAGACTAGTTTCAGAGTGCAAGGAATCCTTGCTGAAAGAAGTAGCTTGCCTTTCTTTGCCACATAACAAGATTCCAGGCTTCTTTTTTACTTTTTATCAATATCAGTGAGCTGATTGATATGAGTAAGAGGTAAAGTGTTAAGACCTTACGTGGTTTAGATCCCCTCCTGCCAACCCCCCATCTTTCCTGACCTCACTTCTTATTATGCTTTTGCTTTAGATATGAAATCCTGCTTCTTGCTATTTATGGAAGCATGCCAATGGTATTCCTGCTTTAGGGATTTTTGCATTCATGTGCTTTTCTTCCTAGTACTTAAAAAAAATAGTTTATTGATTTTTAGAGAGAGAGAAACATCAGTGTGAGAGCATAACATCCATCGGCTGCCTCCTGCGTGCCCCCTACCAGGGATTGAGCCTGCAACACTGGCATGTGCTCTGACCAGATACACACTGATTTTTTTCATATCTTCTCAAATGTCATCTAATATTTAGGCTTTTCCTGATGTCTCCATGAAAAATAACACCCTCCACCACATCCCTCTGCTTTATTTCTTTGCATATCACTCTCTGGCATACTTTCTGCCCTGTAAATTCCATAAGCAAAGGGACTAGATTTTGTTTACTGTTGTATCTCCAGTGCCCAGAACAGTACCCAGTACCCAGCAATTAGTGGAATGAATGAATTCTTCCCCTTTTAGTGTATTTCTATGTGGGACAACATTTTTTTTTTTTTTTAATCCTCACCCGAGGATATTTTTCCATTTTTTTTTGTACAGATAGAGTGGGAGGGAGAGAGAGGAAGGAGAGAGAGAGAGAAACATCAACGTGAAGGGACACATCGAGTGGCTGCCACCCGCACGACCAACCAGGGCCGGGGACAAACTGCAACCGAAGTACGTGCCCTTAGCGGGAACCGAACCCGGGTCTCTCCGGACCGCAGGCCGACGCTCTAACCGCTGAGCCAAACCGGCCAGGGCTATGTGGGACAACATTTTTGTAGCTGAAACAAAAAACCCTTTATTTGTTAATCAGTCCAATTCTACAGATTAAATGAGAAAAGAACCTTTTTTTTTTGCCATGTCATTTGGCGGGGGTTGGGAGGAGTTGTTTTGTTTTTTGTTAGGGAAACAAAATTGAAAAATTTCAAAATGAAGATGCACATGTAATTGAAAAGGAGTAAGCAAAGTGAACAAAAATAAAGTACTATTAGGAACCTTAATATGAAAAAATAATTTTATAAAAACTATTTTTTCTACTAGGGAACATACTTCTGTATTTTGTCCTTAAAACCGGCCTACATCATTCACATTTCCTGTTTGGCTTATATTTTCTCATCTGTCTGCTTTTTATCACTTAAAATTAAGTTCTATTACTTCTTCAAGGTTTCAGCTCAACTCCCAGCTTAAAAAGACATTTTCAATCATCTCATCCTGGTTTCTTTGTTTGCTACACTAGTATATGTTCTTTGAGTCTTCATTGATGGTTATATTGCTCTGGTCACACTCTTCTCTGTGTTGTTTATCTGTGGATGTCTTGTGTCTTCCATCTCCATCAGCTAGCTTGTGCAAGGTGGGACCTCAGTGTATTCTTACTGCTCAGGCTTCCAAAGGCATTCGGAACACCTGCATAGCTAGTTCCATTAGGTACATTGATATTTTGTTACTTTACTTTTAAAGGACGTGGTCAGATTCTTATTTTAGGTTTAGCCTAAATAATTTAGTTAAAGGAAGAACTTTTTTTTTCTCACTGAAGAATTAGTAACACTTTGTTTTCTCTTATATAGATGAGTCTTACCAATTTAAAAATTTTGACATTTGTCACTTGAGCATCCACGATAGGTGGCCTATTATAATGTGAAGAAATCTTTTCTTGCTTTATACTTTTCAAAAACTGGATGTTAAAAATAGTCTGGGACCAAAATATATAACAATTTTATGTTATGAAAATATGTGTTAAGGTTAGACAAATATATAGCTATGGAGTTAGAAATAAATATTATATAAATATTGGTAATGTGCAGAAATGACATGATCTAAAATATGAACAGTGGGTACTTGGGTGAAGGGGTTGCTTGAGAAGAAAGGGGACTTAAAATTATATAATACTGATTTTTATTTTTTGTTATAAGACATAAATTATCCTGTTATTTTTTTAGTAGCCATTTCTGAAACCTACAGGTCAGCTATAAAAATCATTTTTCTATTTTTACTTCTGTGAACTCACTTAAAATGGATTTCTTTGATCCAGCTCTGTTGAAGAGAACCCTTTAGAGAAATATTAATAACCTGTAAGCATGTGTTCTAATGTTTTTCTTTACTTGTCTTAAAATTCTAGGAATTGAAGCCATATTTTATGAAGGAAGTTGGCACTCACTTCGACGATTTTGTGACCAATCTCATTGAAAGATCGGTATCGTTGGACAGTGGTGGGAGTGCTCTCACGTCCTTTTCTGTTCTTGGAGGAGAGAAGAACCACAGAGCTAAGTAAGTATGAGTATTAGTTTCTTTTAATCAGACATCTAGTCTAGTACAGCTCAGCGGTCAGAATGTGGACTGCAGTAAAAACGCCTGGATTCACACCCTGGCACCAGTTTCCATTAGCTGTGTGTCCCTCTGGGCGTATTGTGTAGCCACTGGAAGGGTGGGTTTCTTCATTTTAATATGTGGATTATAACGCATATGCATACTTCATTTAAGACTGTGCTGACCCTTGAGTGCTTTTCATTTAAACCAAACACCGTATGAGGTAGGTACTATAACTGTCTGCCTAGTACAGAGTAGGAAATTGAAGCACAGAGCAGTTAAATGTTGCCCAGTATCACACAGCGGGGATTTGAACCCAGAGCCCATGCTCTTCACCATTATACTGCCTCTCTGTTGTACTCGCTACAATACTTATTATAAAGTACAGTGCATTGGTATCTCTTTGTGATAATTTGTCATTCTGTGCTTTCCTTGCTTTTATGCCTCTGTGGTCTCTGTCAGTCCCTCCTGTTCTGGAGGACACTTTTATTTTTTTATTTTTTTATCCTCACCCAAGGACATTTTCCCATTTTTTGTACAGATAGAGTGGGAGGGAGAGAGAGGAAGAGAGAGAGAGAGAGAGAGAGAAACATCGATGTGAAAGGGACACATCGAGTGGCTGCCACCCACCCACACGACCATCCAGGGCCGGGGACCAACTGCAACCGGGGTACATGCCCTTAGCGGGAACCGAACCCGGGTCTCTCCGGACCGCAGGCCGACGCTCTAACCGCTGAGCCAAACCAGCCAGGGCTGGAGGACATTTTTAACCAGGAATATCAGTGGAAGTGCTGACAGTACTGCAGAAAGCCCTAAAGAAGATGATCATGATACATCTTAACAGATTCTAGTAACTGGATTTGAGTAACCTTTAAGATCAGGAGGCTGTCAGGAATTGTCGGAAGTCCTTTGACATTAAGGAGGGTATCATACATATCATTTTCAAGAATAAACCGGTAATAGTATATGAATTGGAGTAAGTGTGGCTGGGGGCCTATGACCTTAGGGATGGATGTTCAGGAGAAGGAAGAGTGGTTGTCTGTGTGATGTCAGGAACTAATGCTGCCTTTGTTAGTTGTGCCTGACACCTCTTCCTCCCTAACCAGATAGGCTTGTACCTGCCTCGTAGCATCACTCAGGAGTAAATGAGACAACACGCATTCAGTCCTAATCACAGTACCCTGGATCCCTGTGAGAAGGCGGTTAATTAATTTTACCTGCTGTAGTTGGTAATAGTCTTCCTCTTATTCTTAGGTATAAATTTTTTATAATGCTTGAAGTACTTATATTTTGTTTTAATTTTTGCTCTTCCTAGAGATCTGAGAGCACCTCCAGAACATGGAAAGATTTTTGTTGTAAGGCGATCTCTCTTAGAGTGAGTATTTTTAGTGCTTTTGTTTATTATTAGTTTGAATTTAAAAAAAAAAAAAAACCCAACATATTCTGATTGTTGAAATCGCTGCTTAATCTATGAATGTTTAATGAATTTATTCTGTATTCATATAAATCATGTGTTTTGATGATGCTTTTTGTACATTTGCTGTCTCTTGCTTCTTGCTTATCTCCCGACTTTGTGTCTGGTTTTCAGAGGAGGTGCTAGAAATCAGAATGGCTCTCTGTCCTTTGATAAATTCCCTGAAGTTGTGCAGCAGAGAACTGGTTACCCAAAGAGCTAGAACAAACTTTTCTGCTTTGGTAAACCACTTCAAGAGAGTTTTGGTGTTGCTGCCTTTTTGATATATAATGTTTTAATCTCTTCTTTGGCTGGCCAGCTTAATAATGTGATACTGTTCTCAGATTTACTTATTTTAAAAACCTGATTATGTGGATTTTATGGGGGAAAAAACACACATCAGGCAAATGTAAATTAATTGTGATGACATCATTTGGGAACTGAAAATTAAAGGTGCCCTTTGAGTATGTATTTATTTTTCTTTTGTAATGTTCTCTGAGTAGATCATTCATTCATTCATTCGAATACTGCTGTAATTTAATCTGCATTAGTATAGGTCATCTGAAATAGTTGGGCTGATGAATCTTGTGATTATTGTGTTTTTCTTTTAAAAATGCATAATATGCTTATCAAAATTTACTTTCTGTGAGCCAAATTGGTCTGTATTACTTAATTTTGATGAGAAGGCCAAAGTTTTCTGAGCATCTGATATAGATTGTCACTCCAGTGTCATGCCACACTGTTGTTTGAAGAGATTTATCTTTTAAAATCTGATTCTGGGGGAAATGCAGGCTTTCCACATAAAAGGGAAAATAAAACATAATTTGAACATTATGATTAAGATTTTAATGATAGTATTCTACTATATGAAAAATAAAAAATATACTTTAAAAACTTCTTAAATCAAGGAAATAAAACACATATTTTATGGCTTAGGTGGGTTTTTAAAATTTTTTTATTTTTAGATCCTTCCCCGAGGATATTTTTTTATTTATCTTCAGATAGAGTGGGAGGGAGGGAGGGGGAGAGAGAGAAACATCAATGTGAGAGAGGTATGTTGATTGGCTGCCTCCTGCTGCATGACCTCAACGAGGGCCAAGGATCAAACGATGTGCGTGCCCTTGACTGGGAATTGAACTGGGACCTCTCAGTCCATGGGACGATGCTCAATCCACTGAGCCACACCGGCTGGGCAGCGTACATCTTCCCATAAAGAAAGCTGAAACACTTGTTTTAATCAAATATAAAAAGTTCGGCCCTGGCCGGTTTGGCTCAGTGGTTAGAGCATCGGCCTGCGGTCCGGAGAGACCCGGGTTCGGTTCCCGCTAAGGGCATGTACCTCGGTTGCAGTTTGTCCCCGGCCCTGGTTGGTCGTGTGGGTGGCAGCCACTCGATGTGTCCCTTTCACATCGATGTTTCTCTCTCTCTCTCTCTCCCTCCTGCTCTATCTGAACAAAGAATGAAAAAGTGTCCTCGGGTGAGGATAAAAAAATATATATATATATAAAAAGTCCGCATTTAGAAAAAGTCATCCAGAAAGTAACTGCTGTGTTTTAAAAGTAGCCCAGTCTTAATTAAATAAAAAGATCAAAGAGGATAGAAAATAAAAACATTTGTAAATGGTTAAGTTTATAAACTTACAGGGTAGTATTTGGTTATCAACATTATAGAATTACAATCTTAACATCTTAGGAATAGATAGTACTTGATATGTATATATTAAGAGTAGGGAGTGGAATGCAATAATAGGATTAAAGTTTTTAGCATTTGAAATAGTTTCTGTGTTCCCTGTTTTCATTGAATGGCTTTTTGTGTACCTTAGTTAGAAAACAGTCGTTTCTGGTAAGTTTACAAGAATGTACACCATTTGTTAGCAACATTTGATATCCACGCTCTTTTCTAGGAAGCAGGATCATTTTATAGGAAAGAGCCTTGTCCTAAGCTCTTCCATTACGTTTTACCTTGGTCATGTCATTTACTGTCTCTACTTCAAGTTTAATGTTTTGTGATTACTGTTTGAGATGTTTTTGGAGGGTGGATTGTGAATCTTCTAGACTACTTTAAAGTCTTTGTGGTGTTTTAAAATCAAACACTTTATAGATTAATCATTTTGTTTGTTTGAACTACATTTACAGTGAGCTGTTCGAGGTGGACCACATTAGAACAATATATCACATGTTTATTGCTCTCCTCATTCTCTTTATCCTCAGCACGCTTGTGGTAGATTACATTGACGAAGGAAGGTAAGCCCAGAAAAAGGATGGTTGGTTAGTTGGCTCATGGGTGTAGAGAGTTTTCACTATATTTAAATTTTGCTTCAGAAAAGTCCAAAGTAGCTGATTTGAGGTTGAGATTTCTCTCAATAAGTACAACTAAGAAGAAGATTAGAAATTTCATTACTTTTATTTTTTTAAATGGTCTATTTGAATAGACTGTAATTGGTAGTTTCTAGGTAATTTCCTAAATGGGAGAATTTTGTGTATATGATTTATCCATTTTTCTACTATGGTATACATTTCAGATTGGTACTAAAAATAAGTAGCTTATTGGAATTTAACATTTGAAAAATGTGATATTTCTTTATTTTTATTTTTATTTATTTTTATTTTTTTTTATCCTCATCCGAGGACATTTTTCCAATTTTTGTACAGATAGAGTGGAAGGGAGAGAGAGAGAGAAACATCGACGTGAAAGGGACACATCGAGTGGCTGCCACCCGCATGACCAACCAGGGCCGGGGACAAACTGCAACCGAAGTACACGCCCTTAGCGGGAACTGAACCTGGGTCTCTCTGGACCGCAGGCCGACGCTCTAACCGCTGAGCCAAACCGGCCAGGGCTGATATTTCTTTTTAATATAAAAATCAAATTGTAACTTTAAAAATGACAGTGTAGTGCGCTGGCCAGTGTGGCGCAGTGGATAGAGCGTCAGCCTGTGCTCACTAAAGGGTTGCTCACGGGCCTAATCCCCGGCCTTGGTCAGGGCACAGTGTGAGAGGCAGCCAACTGATGTATGTCTCTCACATCAGTCTCTCTCCCTCTCTCCGTCTCTTGTCCTCTCTCCCTCCCTTCCACTCTCTCTAAAAATCAATGGAAAACGTATCTTTGGGTGAGGATTAACCAAAAAAAATAAATAAAATGACAGTCTAATCATACTTAGAATTGTATACTTTATTACAAAATTAAATTTTGAGATGTTAAAATATATTAACAGATTTTTTAATTATACCTATTCCCTTCTGAAAAATCATCTTTTATACATAGCAGTGATTGCTATTTGAATACTCTAAATACTAACTTTTCCATAGAATATTTTAGAGTTTAAAATGTATTAATGTGCCCTGGCCAGTTTGGCTCAGCGGTTAGAGCCTCGGCCCGCTGACCAGAGAGACCTGGGTTCTGTTCCCGCTCAGGGCACATACCTTGGTTGTTGTTTGTCCCTGCCCGGTTGGGGTTGTGTGGGTGGCGACCACTTAATGTGTCTCTCTCACATCGATGTTTCTCTCTCTCTCTTCCTCCCTCTCTGCCTCCTGCTCTATCTGAAGATGAATGCAAAAATGTCCTCGGGTGAGGATTAAAAAAAAAAGAAAGAAAAAATTATTGTGAAAATCTAACCTTTGAAAAGTTCAAAGTCTTATTATTTTAAGTTATCTTAAGTATTTTATATTGAAAGACTGTGTTATCTTAGGGCTTTTAGAAGGTTTGTTGTTGAAATATATTGTGAAGCAGAGTCTTAGAAGCAGTTCTCTGTCTAGCACAACTAGAATAACTTCAGTGTATTAATGTTGTTGTGTTGCCTAAAGTTGAGAGTTTGGGGCCTGAAAGTTTTGAGTTCTGTGAATCAATGCCTACTTTTAAAAATGTGCCTTTGTGTCTTTTCTCCATGCTTTTTCTCCCTAGGCTGGTGCTTGAGTTCAATCTCATAAGTTATGCTTTTGGCCAACTTCCTGTTGTTATGTGGACATGGTGGGCCATGTTTCTGAGTACACTTTCAGTTCCCTATTTCCTCTTTCAACATTGGGCCAGAGGCTACAGCAAAAGTTCTCATCCAGTGATCCATTCTGTCTTCCATGGCTTGCTTTTCATGGTCTTCCAGATTGGCATTCTGGGTTTTGGACCACTGTATGTTGTGTTAACATATATGCTGCCACCAGCTTCCCGGAGCATTGTTATATTTGAACAGGTAAGGTTTTGAGTATTGCCAGTTCAATGCTGTGCTTAGTTAAAATAATAATAACAATATTGCCATTATTAAACAACATAATATTGATGTTCTGTTATTTTTAGTTGGATAAATTTTTATAACTTCCTTTATGCTATTACCTAAAATTAAAGTGTTAAACTAGATCATCTTATCTCATAAAATTTGCTTAGCTTCAATGTTCTCTGATTCTTAATACTTGAAATAAATCATATTGGGCTGTTCTGGATGAGTTCAAATTTTTATTTTTTTAATCCTCATCCAAGAACATTTTTCCATTTATCTTCAGATAGAGTGGGATGGAGAGAGGGGGGGGGGGGAGAGAGAGGAACATGGATGTAAGAGAGACACATCAATCGGTTGCCTCCTGCATGACCCTACCAGGGCCAAGGACTGAACCACAACTGAGGTACGTGCTCTTGACCGGAATCAAACCCACGACTCTTTGGTCCATGGGCCGATGCTCTAACTGTTGAGCCAAACTGTCAGGACTGAGTTTAAATTTTGTTCTTGAACGCTTTTTATAGTAGTCATCTATATTATAAAATATTTTTGTAATTAAAATCCTCACTTTTGAAATTTCAAGATTCATTGTTTTGTCATATAACTGTTCCATTCTAAAGAACGGATTTATTTTGTTAATATACCCTTTAGATTTTCTTATATTGGCTGTTTATAATGCTCTGTTTAACTAATGGAAAAGAGGACCAGGTCAGGAAACTTTCTTTGTATAGGCTTTTGATTTCTTTCTTTCTTTTTCTTTTTTTTTGTTAATCCTCACCTGAGGATATTTTTGTTGTTGTTGCTTTTTAGAGAGAGTAGAAGTGGGGGGGACTGTGAGAGGGACACATTGATTGGTTGCCTCCTGCAGGCTCCCCAACCAGGACCAGGAATTGAACCTGCCAACTGCAGAGCCACACTGGCCAGGGCTTTTAATTTCTTAATTTATAATGTATCATTGATAATGCTGTTAGGTGCAAAATAATGTGTCCTTCTTTAGGGGTTGTTTTTCCATTTGGTTTATTCCATAAAAGTGAACTTGAGTTGGTATATGCAAAATTAAAACATTCTTTGTGTGACTATAATCTAGTATTGTTCTGGGGTTGCTTGAATGAGACAAAACAATGATATAAAATTCATCTTTTTCTCCCTTTCCCTTCCTTTTTTAGATTCGTTTGATAATGAAGGCCCATTCGTTTGTCAGAGAAAATGTGCCTCGGGTTCTAAATTCAGCTAAGCAGAAATCAGGTATGTAATTCTATTAAGTCAAAGGATTATTCATAGGGTATTTTAGCCTTTGGTGTTTACTGGGATGGCATATTACATTATGTTTGATTTTAAATATATAGGCTCTACATTGATTTGGAAGAATAACTCACTATTTTTTTATTGTTTATGTTTTGCCTTGGTACCTACAAAAAACATTGATCACTAGATTCTTGTAACTTTGTGTAATTTTTGTAGAATGTTAATAGACCCATTACACCCATGTGTGTTTATTTCCCTCTGAATTGGTGCTTAAAACTCTAGAAGTTTCTCTAAGTCACAGGAATAACTTAGTGTAGAGGGATTGGTTTATTAAATCAGAATAGGAAGTCATCATTTGGGGAGGTCAGGAAGAAACAACATAAGCTGAGGAGAGGTCATTTTATTCTCCCCTATCCTGTGTTTCCTTACTCTCTGAGTTTTGTTGAGAGCTCCTGACCTAGCAGAGTTTTCCTTTTCTAGGCACTGTCCCAGTCCCCACAGTCAACCAGTACTTGTACTTCTTGTTCGCACCTACCCTCATCTACCGGGACAGCTATCCCAGGTACTGGACTGTGAAGTGCAGGTGCGGTGAGCTGAGCGAGTGTGCGTGAGCGAGCTGAGAAGGCGGCCGGGCCAGTTCGCAGGGGCCACAGAGCACGTAGAATGAGCTCATCTTCTCCACGGCCTGGGGAGCCCCGGGTGGTGATTCCAGCTGTCTGGTTCTGATCATAGTAATTCTTGGCTTAATCTACTTTATTTAGAAAATGTGTTTTGTTGCTTCCTTTCTAGGACTCCCACTGTAAGGTGGGGTTATGTTGCTATGCAGTTTGCACAGGTAAGTTTTTATATTTCCTAAGGTTTGGTGATTGGTGGGAGACGGGATTTGAATTTCTTGTAATAATTTAATCTATTTAAAGTGTTGGTAAATTCAGTCTATTGGGAGATTTAGACCTCTTTCTGATGTTTTGAATTATTTGTAGTACAGTGAATCGTGTTTGTTTTGACAACATCAAAAGTAATTTTCTTCAGTAATATAATTTATTTAATTCCATTTGATTACTTCAGTCAGCATCTGCCTTAATTTCCCCCTCCCCTCCTGTTTTTATATTTTTGGAGAGACACACACACACACACACACACACACACTCATAATCTGACACTCCCCCTCAATCCTTCTCAACCCCTGATCAGAATCAAATCTCAGAAGATCCCATTTTAAATTCTTGTTTCAATCAAATACCCATTTATGAAATAATTTTTTTTGTTATGGGTTCATGTAGCAGGAAAATCAGGTTCCATGAGTCTGATCATTTATAAATGCCGTTTGCTAAAGGTTGGGAAAAGGTATGGTAGAAACTAGGCCTGAGTATATCTGAAGTGTACAGTTTGGCAGTCTTTTTTTTTTTTTTTTTTAATATTTTCTTTATTGATTTTAGAGAGAGATATAGAAACATCGATGAGGGAGCACATCGATTGTCCGCCTCCTGCATGCCCCCCACTGGGGACCGGGCCCACAACCTGGGCATGTGCCCTGACTGGGAATTGAACTGGCGACCTCTCGGTGCATGGGTCGACACTCAACCAGTGAGCCACACCAGCTGGGCCAGTTTGGCAATCTTATATACTCGTGTTAAGTGGAACATATATGTCAACATTAGAGGTCACATATGTATCTTCTTTTGAAGGAAAAGCACCATCTTTCCTTGTCATGCCATCATTCTTATGACTGTATCTTTGTTGTGTTCCAGGTGTTTGGTTGCCTGTTTTATATGAACTACGCCTTTGAAAGGCTCTGTGTCCCCTTGTTTCGGAATATCAAGCAGGAGCCCTTTAGTGCTCGTGTTCTGGTCCTGTGTGTATTTAACTCCATCTTGCCAGGTAACATGGGTACTGGTTAATTTGGCCACTCATAAAGTTGCAAGGGAAGGAGGAAGCTATTGAACCTTTGATTTACCTGGTTTTCACTATAAACTCATCTACATTTTTGTACCTCTTTCCATCTGTCTCCTAAATGAAGTATATTTTAGTGTCAGGCCAATTTTTCCCTTGGTCTTCTGGCTTTTACTGAAGTTTTACTTTCTCTTACTGGATAATGCATATTTATGCTCTATTTCCCCATAATCTTGCTCCTAATCCAAGCAGTCCACTGAAATAGCCTTATTAAAACCACTGGTAATTTCCTGAGTCTAAATCCGGTGGCTGCTTCAGCCCTTACTCTGATCTGCATGAAGCATTGGCTGTTGTTGACCACGTTTTGAAATCTCCTTGTCGCTCTTTCTTATTCTCCCGTCTTTTTGGCCATACCCCCGGCTCCTCACTTGCTTCATTCCCCATATTATTTCCTGGAGATATGACTGCCTACTATATTTTAGGTGCTAACCACATAGCAGTGAACAGACATACTCTTGACTCCCTGGAAGCTTGCAGTTTAATTATATGTACAGTTTTCTTTACTTACTTTCTTTTCTCTACCCATTAGATGTTGGTAATATTTTCCATGATCTCCTTGTGTGTTCTTCTCTCTCTCACTCGGACTTCTAATAACCCTTCCCATTGCTCCAAGATTTACTCCAGTAAACTCTTATCTGTCCCTCTAAGAGGGTATGTGTTACATACTTGGGTGTCTTCCTCACTAGGCTGCAAATTCCTTGAGGTCAAGGATTGTATCTTATAGCCACTCGGCCAGTCACAGTCTCTCCCATATTGTCTAATCCATAGCAGATACTCTGTAAATATTTTTTGAATAAATGAGTGCTTCACATTACAGTGTAATATATTCTACATAAGGAGGATACACAAAATGCTGATGAACTTTGTATCACATTGGAGATGACGTTGAACTTTGGGTATTGAAAATAGACAGGGGTTTGCTTGGCAGAGAATTGGTGGAAAGGTGCTTGCAGGTAGTGGGATGGGTCCCAGGGCAGAGGCTTACTCTAGGGTGGCGAGTCCAGTTTCAGATGATGTTTGCAACACTGGGAGTGGAGTTGGAGATAAGTTAACTTTATCACTATTGACATTTGGGGCTGGATAATTCTTTGTTTTGGGTGGCTGTCTTGTGTCTTATAGGATATTTAGCAACATTCTGGCCTCTAACAACTAGATACCAGTAGCACAACCACCAACCCTTCTCTGTACCGCAGGCCGACGCTCTAACCGCTGAGCCAAACTGGCCAGGGCACAACCACCAACCCTTGAGTTGCGACAACTAAAAATGTCTTCAGAATTGTCAAATGTCCCTGGTGGGCAACAGGGGGGACAGGTAGCTCCCCTAGTTTTTTTTTTTTTCTTTTTTTTAATCCCCACCCGAGGACATTTTTCCATTTTTTGTTCAGATAGAGTGGGAGGGAGAGAGAGGAAGAGAGAGAGAGAGAAACATCGACATGAAAGGGACACATCGAGTGGTTGCTACCTGCACGACCAGCCAGGGTCGGGGACAAACTGCAACCGAGGTACGGGAACCGAACCCGGGTTTCTCTGGACCTCGGGCCTACACTCTTAACCGCTGAGCCAAACCGACCAGGGCCTCCCCTAGTTTTAAACAGCTGGTTTAGAGGAATGCATAAGGGCCAGATTTTAAAGTGCCATGGGTATCAGGTTAAGCCATACATCTAGGAATTTCTATTAAAAACAGACTGGGTCATTTGTCATCTGAAAAACCCATTTGGAAGGAAGTTAGTGCTTTAGAAAATTAATTAACTTTCAACAACACTATCATCTCTGGAATGAGTAAGCTGGAAGAATAATTTTTATTTTACAGAATAATTTTAGCTAAGCAGGTGATGACATAATTAACTGCTTGGTATGTGAGCTGTTTGGTAAGACTCAATGTTGTTAATGTTATTTTTAGGTGTGCTGGGGCTGTTGCTTACCTTTTTTGCCTTTTTGCACTGTTGGCTCAATGCCTTTGCCGAGATGTTACGCTTTGGTGACAGAATGTTTTATAAGGTAATATATACTTGGACTCATTTTTCTTTTCACATTTTATTATGTCCTCATTGTCAGGTGTTTGAGCATTGTTGGCTACTATATTTTTAACATGAACATTGTGAAATAATTTTCCCCCACAAGTTTTACCAATATTAAGTCCGAAATTCTGATACCAGTATAATTAGTAAAGCCTTATCTTCTGCCTCCAATACCCGTCCCCTTCATATAGCATGTGGTTTCTGCTGTATCCTATATTGGTGATTACAGAAGGAAAGCATGTGTCCAGAGGACTTTATGAGTCTTTGCTGACTGGTCTTTCATTTGAAATTGGCTGTCTGGTGCTGTAGGAGTAATTTCAGCAAATTATTCAATTTAAGGTTGTTGAAGGAAGGAAATAACTTTTTCCCCTTTTATTTTTGAAAGGCATTAATTCTGCTTAAAATAGTATCCAATACTTCCAAAGTTGGAATTAAGTTCTAGACTAGAGCCAGGGCTAGAGTTTTGTTTGTTTGTTTTGGTTTTGGTAGCTGTCCAGGCCTACCACTGTTTTCTCAAAAGAAATAGTGAATGGAGGTTGTGAATTTTACATGTCTGATTTCACTGGTCTGATCTTAAAGTAGGGAGCAAGATATACGTAAGGAGCACCAGATTTTGGAGGTAGCTACCAATTCACTCCCTGTACAACTTAAGTTCTTCTGTTTGATACCAGCAAACAGTTCTTCAGCGTTGGCATGCTACCTATGTCTGTGTGCCTTAGAATTCTGTGTTTCAGCAAGGCAGTGGCCATCTACGGATTGCTATTTAGAGGAACACTAGATTGGATGACTCTGTATTTTCTATGTCTTCCACCATAACTTGTTTTTTTTTAATGAGACAAAATGAACCTAAGGAATGAATCACATATAGAACTGGAATTAATGCCCTATTGAATATTAATAACCAAAATGCCTTTGAAGAGTTTTCTGACATCAGTATATGGACTAACAATTTATCATAACATACTCTGGGTATTATGCGTGTATGTTCTTTGGGCATATTGAGGGGTTTTTGCTTCAGCTCTGTGTATATACATATATGCGTGTGTGGTGTGTGCATAGTTTCACAGCTTTGTTTTTGCCCTCAGGATTGGTGGAACTCCACATCCTACTCCAACTATTACAGGACCTGGAATGTGGTGGTCCATGACTGGCTGTACTACTATGCTTACAAGGACTTTCTCTGGGTAAGCAGCAAGATGTAGTTGATGTTGTTCGGGAAGTGGAGATTCTTTTCGAGAAAGTGTTAATATTGTACAGCTGTCTTCAATTCTCTTATGAGCCATTTATGTCTAAGAAACTTCTGCCTTGAATAATAGGACTGCTTAGAGACCAGTATGGACAGTTACTGGGTCTAATACCGTGCTTTTGCTCTGGGTTTGATTTTTCATAATTACAAAGTAAGAATGCATTCAGAGAAATTGAAATGATCCACTAATGTGATAATTTTTTATGAATCTCACTGCTAACAAGTGATTTTCTCTAGCTTTTTCTTCATTTGCTTTTTTTTGTCTCTCTGTTCAAAGTGGAGAAACACCTTTGTTCGGATTTATATCCCTCCAATTGCTTATGTAGGTGTTTGAGACATTCTTCAGAGCAGAATGTATTTAGACTAATGAATTGTAATCTTTTTTTTTTTTTTTTTTATCCTCACTCGAGGACACTCTTTTGGTATTTTTGTTCAGATAGAGTGGGAGGGAGAGAGAGAGAGAAACATCGATGTGAAAGGAACACATCGAGTGGTTGCTACCCGCACAACCGACCAGGGCCGGGGACAAACTGCAACCAAGGTACGTGCCCTTAGCGGGAACCGAACCCGGGTCTCTCAGGACCGCAGGCCGACGCTCTAACCGCTGAGCCAAACCGGCCAGGGCTTGAATTGTAATCTTGAATCTCATGGTTGATTAACACTGGTATTTCTGGATTACTGGCTAACTGATCACGTTGTGGTTCAGATCGCATTGTATGGGAATGTTCATCCATTTATATGTGTAGTTTCATTTACAGATAAGGCAAGTCTCTTCTTTATTAATCTTAATTTTGTAACCTGTAAAAATGGAGAGGATGCCTGCTCTGTCTACCGTACTGTGTTACTTTAAAGGTTGAGACTTGGTTAATATCTAAAAACTATGTTTTGTCAATCAGAGTGACTTAAAGTATTAGTTATTTTTGTTTTAATAAATATGCGCAGCTCTTTCTTTCAACATTAATTGTTTTTAAAATGCCTCCATTTAGTAAAATAAGGACTTTTAAGCATAGATTTTTTTTTGTAATTATAATACATTTGGATTAATCCAAGGAGTAGATTGGAAAGTCACATATACATAGAATTAAATAGGTGCCATTAGCATGTGATAATTATAAGTCTTATGTAGTTCGCACGTAATTACTTCTAAAAGACTACTTTCTAATATTTCCCTTCTACCCTAGTTTTTCACTAAGAGATTCAGGTCTGCGGCCATGCTGGCCGTGTTTGCTGTGTCTGCTGTCGTGCACGAGTACATCTTGGCTGTCACCTTGAACTTCTTCTACCCCGTGCTCTTTATTCTCTTCATGTTCTTTGGAAGTAAGTATCTTGGCATGCCATGAGGGCTGAGTGATGCCAGAAGAGAAATTTAGAAAATAAAGTATAAAATCAATGTAGGAAACTAGACAGTAAGCAGTCATACCATCTCAAGGCAGTATTTGCTTATCAGATGGTAAGAACATTGATTTTGAGTAATTATACACAACTCTGTTTCAAGATGTTTATACTTTGAAGTAGAGAAATGAACCAAATAACCTCTTGGAGACTATTAGTAGCTTTGATTTGGTAGGTCACAAAAACTATAAAAATCAGCTTTCCCATTCTTCAGTTCTGTCATTGTTCACCCGCTGGAAAAAAACTGACCCTTTTCTGGGTGGGAGGACAAGTTAGAATATGAATGGTCCCATTAAATATTACTTATTAATAAATTTCAACACTGAAGCTTCATTTCTATTTATAGGATCAGTGGCCAGAGTGAAACACATATACACACAGTTGATGCTCATTGTGATAATTTGATGATTACAGCAGATATCTGAGGCTGCTTATAGATTGTTTTGATATATATATTTGTTTCTTTCTTACTTTAGTGGCTTTCAACTTCATTGTCAATGATAGTCGGAAAAGGCCAATTTGGAACGTCATGATGTGGACTTCCCTTTTTGCGGGCCAGGGAGTCATTGTGTGCTTTTATTGTCAAGAGTGGTATGCACGTCAGCACTGTCCTCTGAAAAATGTGAGTCATCAGTCAGGCTAGAGTGGAAAAGTGACATATTTGTCTTCAGTTGTGAGGGCAATATTAAAGGGAAGGAGAGTATTGGAGATCATGATGAATTAATGTTAAGGGGAGAGACACATTAGCTTATTATCTGATCTCACTGCACTGTCCTTGAAATTGTTTTTTGCTTTGAACTCTCCTACTTCTTCGTTCTCTTCTTTTGTAAATTTTCTTTTCTTTTATTGCTTTTTCTTTAGCTCCTTTTAATTTTGTGTCCTAAAAATGTAGGTGTATTCCTCCCACACACCCCTAAACACATGTATTTTTTTTACCTCTTCTTTTCCAAAATATTAACTCTTTTGTAACAGTGTTCAGCTACACTCACATGCCTAGGATCCCATTTCCCTTGATTCTTTCATTGTTGTTTTATTTTCCGTGATTATGTAAGTCTCATTCTTAGAGCTTTATCAGCTTTTAGCTGCATGTGGACAACTCTGAAACATTTAGAGGGTGCCTTCTTTATATATCTGTTTGGGCATATTTCTCATAGGCACCTATAACTGAAGATGCCAACAATCAAATTAATCAGTTTCTCTGCCAAAGCTTCCACTATGTGCACTGTTTTCGTTATACTGCCCTAACACTCCTTCCGTATTTCCTACTGATCCCCTGTGTGAATTGAACTAACTGCTCTGGACTACTAAACGTAGGGGTGTGCTAAAATAAAATGCAAGATACATAAAGAAGTAGTACCTATTTGAAATTTGGTCAGAAGTGCAATTGTGTAGGGACTTTAAAATTTAAAAGTTTCATGTAAAGCCTGTAAATCAAATAAATCTGTGCTATAGATAAGAATAATTAACATTTTTTGAATTATTGAACTGCTTATAATTTAAAAGTTACTGAAATGCTGGGAGGCATTTTAGAGGTGTACAGTATATAACATTAACACCCTCCAACCCCTCCCCCCCATACACATAGTACACGCAAGTAAACTACATTTCTTTTTTTCCCCCTTGAAGCCCACATTTCTGGATTATATCCAGCCACGTTCCTGGACTTGCCATTACGTGTTTTAGAAGCCTGGACTTTGTTTCCTTCCTGGACACTGAAGATTGGGTGTTTTGCCGGATTTGGGGCCAGCATCTGTTCCAGCTGTTACTGATGAAGTTACCTGTGTTATTTGGACCACTCAGACTTGACAGATGATTCAGTCCATTCCTAGGTCATCGGAGCTGAGCCTTTGGAAGTTTACTGGAATTATATACACTCAAGCAGTGTTTTGTTTTTGTTTGTTTTTTTTTTTGCAGAGAAGGGAGACATAGCTAATGTTATGACAGATTTTTGCTGGGTCATATTGGCTTAAGCCTCAGAAATATCGCTGTTGTTTTTTGACTATCTAATTAGAGACTAAACATCATGTTTTCTTGGCCACCGAATTAGCCAAAACACTTATGAAGAAATCATTTGAATACCTCTTACTTAGATATATTTTTCAGGCACACTGTTGGAATGTATGCTAATTAACCATGCAGTTGGGAAAGAAGAAAATATGGAATGTTTTGCTATTTCCAGTAGAGAGAAAATTTGCTATTTCCAAAAGAGAGAAAATACCTGTTTTCCAAAGATCATCTTATTATACATTCTAATTTGTGTTGTTGTTGTTGTTTTCTTCGGCCTGTATTGTTTTGGAAAAAGTTTGGTTCTATCCAAGTTTTATCTTGTTTTCACTATACAGTGTAGGTCATGGTTTCTGTGAAGCAAAATTGTATCTTTCACCTTGAATTTTTTTTTTCTTTGCCCTCACTCGACATTTTTCCACTTTTTGTTCAGATAGAGTGGGAGGGAGAGAGGGAGAAAGAGAGAGAGAGAACCATCGATCAAGAGAGACACATCGACTGGTTGCCACCCGCACGACCCAACCAGGGCCAGGGACAAACTGCAACCGAGGTACGCGCCCCTAGCGGGAACCAAACCCGGGTCTCTCTGGACCGCAGGCTGACACTCTAACCGCTGAGCCAAACCGGCCAGGGCTCACCTTAAAGTCTTAAGTTTGCATTCATAATATTATATATTGAGAAGAACAGAAGTAGGAAGGGAAAGAGAAAAGGCACAGGACAAAGAAAAATATTTCCTCTTATAGCTTTCAAAGTGTTTTTTAAAAAACTTGCAGTTGTCAATCAATCGTACTTAAATTATTTTATCATGAAACTTATGTGGAAAATAATTTTAATAAACTTTAAGGTCATAATTTCTTTTAAGTTATTTAGAAGTATCCTTTAGTATAGTTATTTTGTTGTCTAGTAAATAATGACTTGAATTATTTTTCAGACTAGTAAGTATGTAACAGAAGTATTAATCACCTCCATTAATATTATTAAAGTGATTATTAAAGATCCAGAAGCTGGCTTCTGTATTTGCACAATTATACTTTTAATGGTAGTATACTTTAGGTGAAACAAATTACTATGTGATCATTTTTAAGAAAATGTACTCTATTATATGATTATGTGATGTTTCCATGTTATAAGATGCCCATTGGTAATACAGTATAGTGTGGAGGAATTATTTTGTTTGTATATATGAGGTGTGATAATGTTTGTAAAGATTGAGCATTGGGAGGAATATCTGAGACCATGCAGGTAGTTTAATTTTCCACCCGAAGAAGTAAGACTTATGAATTATTCAAAAGATGATTGGTATGTGGAGCAGCCAACTTGAGAGGTCCTCTTGGTATTCTAACAGGCCTACTGTTGTCCAACAAGTTTTGGGAAATCTTTTCCAAGTTGTTTTAAAGACAGTTTGAGTCTCACAAGAAGGAAAGTAGAGTTTCTTAATAGTCACAATTTAATTTGTGCCACAAATGCCCAGAATAGTACCTATTTTATTCCCTATACCTTTGATCCAGATGAATTTAGGTAGTTTTTAAGCATCAAATCCAACTTCAACAGACAAAACTACACCTCAAAGGACTATCTTCAAAAAGGTTCCACATGTTCCTACGCAGTAATTATCTGCACAGTAGTAATGGAACCATAGCCTCCAAACAGGACTGCTTTAATATAGCTTCTAATTTTTGATGTTTTTATTAAAAAGAAAAATGAGTCAATCACTGCAGTTTATAACTACATTTTAAATATAATGAGGAAGCTGAGAAAAGATTGGTGTAAGACTTGGTTATGAATAAGCAAATCCACCTAAGTTTAGCTCTGTATTTCTGTTAAGTACTGTAAAGAAACTCTCACTGAGAGGACTTTGTTGCTCTCGACTGATTCTGAATGCTCTATTTGTTGGACTGATCAAAGCAATTTTAAAAAGGAAAACATCTTAAAGATGAAGTCTCATCTTTGTTTATTGATTTTTTTCCTGTCCAAGATTTTTATGTGACAAGTAATCTGTGTATAATTTTAGAGTCTTTAGAATGATAAGACCGTCTGTCCTAAGAAATTTTCAGAAACATTCAAAGGAATAGCCACTTTCTGTGAAAGAAACTCATTTGATAGCCATGGTATTATTGCTAGCTGCTTTTAGCAAAAGTCTTTAAACAAATCAATTAAAATGAAAGTTCTTACTAATGCGTTACAGAAGATTTATTGACCCCCACCCCCTTGCTAAAGTTATTTTCAGTTACTGGATGATGCTTTTTTCCTTCGAAAAGTAATGAGTTTAAAATTACTTTCCTGTAAGAAATATTAATGATAATAACTATTATTTTGGGTGTGTTATTCCAAGAGAACAAGTAAGATCTTTAACTTTGCCATAAATTTTTTAGATGCTCATGTTCTCAATCCTGGATAGTAAAGAAAACGGATTATTTTTTGGTTTTTCGGTGGATTAATCTGCATTTGCCTAGGGTTAGAATTTAATTAGAAAATTGTGACTGCTTTTAACCTGAGGGTAACTGCAACAGTTGGAAGCAAAAGGAGTGGAGAAATGTTTTTTCCTTTTTTAATCATTGCAAGGTAAAAGTAGATGGATGACATTGGCAGGTACAAGTACAGTGCATAAGTGTTCTATATTTGCACAGTTTATGTTGTAGAAGTAATTCATTTAGTATAGGCAATTCTCATTGTAATATCAAAATTTATACTTGCCTGGAAAATTGAATTCGGAAGTCTTACAGGTGTGCTTAAAAGCTGGTCATGTGGGCTGTGTAGCCTAAAAAGATTCAACTTATGAATTGTTGAAGTCTTTTATGCAAAAGAGATAATCTTTGTTTTGTGTGGTAATAAATAATTTGAATAAAGTTCATTGTTTTGTGTGGGGAAAAATAATGGAGGTAAACTTATATAACTATAGTAACCAGGTGGCCTAAACCATTAAAAAGGAAATTGTTACACTCCAGCGCAGCATCTAAAAAAGATAAAATACAGCTGCTCTGGTTGAGATAGAGATGGGGGTGCTGGAACCTTTGTGTTTGTACACCCACTTTTCCTACCCACAGATTGAAAGCCAGTGGTGCAGGGAGAAAAGGGCATGCACAGATTTTTTATTAGGATAACCCCTACCAACTAGCAGTGTGACCTTGGGCAAAGTTGCTTGATTTATCAGAGCCACAGTTTTCCTCATCTGTAAAATGGGGTAATAACTACCTCAGAGGGTTACTGCAAAGTACTAGCCCTGGCAGAAATAGGGCCTCGTTATTTTCTTACTCTCCATAAATTCTAAGCCTAAATCGAGAATGTTTCAAAAGCTGCTCATGTCCAGAAATGCTGTGAATTGGCATTGCACCCTGACTGATGCAATAGGCTCTCCATAATGGAATTGACAGAAATTTAATGAGATTGTATGTTTCCCTCTCCAAATGACTTTCACATGTATCTGTTTAGCATTAGGGGAGGGTGACGAGCTTCTATAAAGAAATGCATTTTTGCCTGGTCGGTTTGGCTCAGTGGAGTGAGCATCATCCCATGGACTGAGCGGTCCCGGGTCGATTCCGGGTCAGAGCACATCCTAGGATTGTGGGCTCAATCCCCAGTGGGGGTGTGCAGGAGGCATTCGATTGATGTTTCTCTCTGACATGGATGTTTCTGTCTTTCTCCCTTCCCCTCTCTTTAATAAATCAATAAAACCATATAAAAAAATAAATGCATTTCTGCTTTACCTACGTGTGTAAGTCGTGTGTTTATTTTTTTATCTTTATTGTTGAATGTATTACAGATGTTCCTCATTTTTACCCATTGACCCCTCATCCCCACTTCCGCCCCCCTCCTGCCTTTTCCCACACTGTTGTCTGTGTCCATTGGTTATGCATATAAATTCTTTGGTTCAACCCCCTTCTCTTTGAGGTTTGTCAGTCTAGCAACCAATTTGTTCTTCTTAATCCCTTCACCTTTTTCACCCATTCTCCTAATCCCCCTCCCATCTGGCAACCAACAAAATATTCTCTGTATCTATGAGAATGTTTCTATTCTGCCTGTTCATTTTGTTTGTAGATTCCATTGTCAATAGATATGTATTCATTGCCATTTTGTTTGTTCATATATTTTATCTTTTTCTTCAAAAAAACCCCGAAACATTTCATATAATAACAGTTTGGTGGTGATGAACTCTAACTTTTACTTGTCTGGGAAACTCTTTATATGGCCATCGATTCTAAAGGACAGCTTTGCAGGATAGAGTAATCTTGGTTGTAGGTTCTTGCTTCTCATCACTCTGAATATTTCTTGCCACTTCCTTCTGGCCTGCAAAGTTTCTTTTGAGAAATCAGCTGAGAGCCTTATGGGAACTCCCTTGTAGGTAACTGCTTTTCTCTTGCTGCTTTTAAGATTCTTTGTCTTGAACCTTTTGCATTTTGATGATGATGTGTCTTGGTGTGGGCCTCTTGGGGTTCATCTTGTTTGGGACTCTCTGTACTTCCTGGACTTGTATGTCTGTTTCCTTCACCAAGTTAGGGAAGTTTTCTGCCGTTATTGTTTCAAATAGGTTTCGATTTCTTGTTCTCTCTCTTCTTCTGTCCACCCCCAAGATGTGAATGTTGGCACGCTTGAAGTTGTCCCAGAGGCTCCTTACACTATCCTCATTTATTTTGGATTCGTTTTTCTTTTTGCTATTCTGATTGGGTGTTTTTTGTTTCTTTATATTCCAAATCGATGGTTTGCTTCTTGGATTTACGTACTCTATTATTGAATCTGTGTAAATTATTCTTTATTTCAGTTAGTGCCTCCTTCATTTCTGAATGTGCATCCTTCATTTCTGACTGGTCCTTTTTTATGCTCTTGAGGCCCTCACTAAGTTCCCTGAGGTTGTCACTAAGTTCATTGAGCATCCTTATAAGCAGTATTTTGAACTCAGCATCTGTTAGGTTGCTTTTCTCCATTTTGCTTAGTTCTTTTCCTGGAGTTTTGTTCTGTTCTTTCATTTGGGACCTGTTTCTTTGTCTCCTCATTTTGGCTGCCTCCCTGTGTTTGTTTCTATGTATTACTTAACGAGCGGTATGGGGCTAGCTGAGACCAGATGCTGCTTGTTTGAAAGAATTTAGGAAAAACCTGAAGCAGGATTCAAGACAGGCCAATCCTATGGTTAAGCAAGTGGCAACAGCTTGGGTGGGCCTGAAAGTTGGGTGGGGCGGGTCCTCAGGGAGTCACCAGGGCGGGGCTACCAGTGTGAGCCAGGTTGCTGGAGTCCCAGATATGGCGGCTGTCTGCTGCCCCAGGGAAGGGCGCACCAAAGGAACAAAGGCCTCTGACAGCACGTCTGTCCCAGAGAAAGCCCCATCTCCAGCCCTCGCTCCAATGCCAAACAGCTCAGTTCTTCCCTGTATGTCGCTGGCGCCCCTCGAGCTGCCTCCCCTCCAAGCTCAGAGGGAGAGAGTCCGATAAGTCCGTGCGCGGGCCCTTTAAGAGGAGCTGCCTGGGCCTCCCTGAGCCT